AAAATTAATTTTTCATCGAAATATCTTTTTGCTTTCAGACAATATTGTCCATGTTCATTAAAATAAATAAAAGCAATTAAAAGCTTTTGAAATTAAATAATATTTTTGTTTTATTGAGTTTTGTATGTTACATTTCCGAGATGATTTTCAGGTAGAGGTGGTCTAACTAAAAAAAATGATTTGGCTTCCTCAAACCCTCGTGCTTTTAACTTATATAATCACTAATCTTCCCAAAATTGAAATTATAGAGTTTTCGTACAATTAGTTATTGGGGAGCAGGTAATACATATGAAAAAATATTTTTGCCATAACTTTAAAAAAGGAAAACATATATATAATAAGTTCCATCATTTGTGAATAGTTTCTGAAAGTTTCATTAAAATCCGACAATTATTTTTATTTTTGCAAGATTTTCAAAATTAATGTGTCATTCAGAAAAAAAAGCGCTAAAATTTTATGCTATTTTACTAGTTCCGGTGAAACAAAGAGAAACAAGGTTTCTTAATCAAAATTTAGAATATTCTAAAAAGAAGGAAATTTTTTTTAAAATAATTAAAAAATACTTTGATCTTTCCTCTTAATAATAACATAAACATTTAGACGCTAAAATTTTGTTTTCGTCAAGTTTGGCGTCTTTTTCATCTGTTTTTAACGATCTCATGAAAGGTAGTTATATATATATATATATATATATATATATATATATATATATATATATATATATGCTATTGTTTACCTAATACAAGGCCTAAGAGTCACTCAAGATAGAAAGTTACAAAATGGTGATGTAAGGGCGCACACGGAGAGAGTGGGAGTTGTATATTATGAGGATATGTAGGTTGGATAACGGTTGACACTTGACTTGATGAGATTAAAATATAAAATTTGATTTACTAGCTTGAAATTAAAACTAAAATAAATGTTTGAAGAAATATTTTTCATTCATAAAAAAATAATTTTAAACCTTAGGCATCACTTTTTTTTGTTTCCTTACATTAAAAGGTACCAGTAACCGAAGCTTAAACAGAAAACAAGGGATAAACTTTTACTCCTGTTCAAAAATCGGAAAAGGAGTATGAACCGAGCGAATCTAGATTTTACAAGTATGCGAATATACGGCACCAATCTTCGTTGTAAAAAGGACCTACATGCTTGCACTTGAAAAATTAACGTTCGAAATCCTAGGTTTTAGTTTAACACGCAAGTCGATCGCAAGTGTAACTCGCTTAGCTAGTTACAGAAAAATATACAGGACGCGTAAAGTATTTGAAGACACATTTGAAGACCGTAAGAAAAAACAACCACATCTTACAAACAAGTAAATTTATTGATACATTCGATGTAATTGCCCTCAGTTGAAACAATGGCTTCAGTGTGGAACCGGAATCGTTGGTATGCACGCATCACATTCTTTTTTTGCAGTAATTCACCCCAAGAAAGCGAGATTTCCACCAGCACGCAAGGAAAGAGGCATGTTTGGGGAAAGGATATAGAGAAGGTCGGGTAACAAACACAGGGTGTCAGAGTGTAGCCAGTAGCATTCAACCAGAGGTCCTGTTGAAAGAAGTAGGGTAGCATGGCGTGTTCTTCACTACTCACCATCCCTAAAACTATAAAAATAGGTATGCATAACATGAGGACATCAGAACAATCTGCATATAATCATCTGAAATTTCTCCGATTCACTTTTGGACCCTTAGGTAACCACAGATTTCTCTGATTCCCTTTTTGGATCTGGGTCCATCACAGATTAGTGAGCAGGTGCAGATTCCTGCTGAAACAGATACGAAAAGGCATATCCAGGACTTTATAACAGTGTAACTAGTAATATTCAACAGAAGACCCTGTTGAAAGAAGTGGGGTGACATAACGTGTCCTTCACTACTCATCACCTCTAAAACCATCACAGAAGCAGGATACTCGATGTTTTTTAACATGAGGGACATCAGAAAGATCCACCTGTCATTTCTCCGGTTCAATTTTTGATCCTGGTCGAATTTTTTCGTCTGAAAAAAAAAAATGAAGAAAACAGTGCTTGCTATTTGTTCAGTAATCGTTTTACTCGGAACAAACGTCGTTCTTGTGTATGTGCCAACATGAACGGCCCTTTACTTATCACGTATGACTTGTCACAATTGTCTTCATGTAATACATTACGGATTGTGACTTCCTATACCTGGAAATTTCTGGCAATATCCTTTGTGGATGCTCCCGGATTCTCAACGATAATGTGCTGCACCTGATGTACGAATTCAAGAATTCCAGTATCATTGGCATGTACGCATTGATATTTGCATTTACTCAACCTCTCCACGAAGTTAGGTTGTGACACAAGGTCAGTTTAATGTGGGGAGCCTGAGCACGTACACCCGGGCTAGGAACAAAAATTGCCCGCAGCCCCCGCCGTCCCCGCAACCGTCGGTTGTTCTGGCCTCGGTGCGAGCACCGATATCCTCTCTATGGTGCAATTAGAGAGCGCGACCTCGAGCAGCTGTTCCCAAGGCCGGCACCTCTCAGTATAATTTTCCTCAGTTGCAACTCCCTTTGACGGAGCCGCGTCTGAGCGCACTCTGCCCAAAAGCAGAGACGCAACCGAGAGATGATAAGTAGGGTTTTACAAACTACTCGAGAGAGTAATTTACACATTGATATATTGATATTACTCGGGTGGCGACTTTCAGAGAATCACTTGTACTGTGAGAAATTAGTTGATTAGACCCCGTTCAGAAACACCTACGGTTTAATAGTCAAGTTGATTTAGGTCTGGAGAGTTAGGTGAACACATGTTTGTTGTGATGTGATCGGGCAGATTGACCACCATTCAGTCTGGAGTCACCACAGCTTTTTGAGCAGGTGGAGAGTCCTGATGGAACACATACGGCCTTCCATCACATGCAAGGTCAATGCAGGACACGGCACAGTGTAGCCAGCAGCATTTAACCAGAGATCCTGTTGAAAGAAGTAGAGGGTGCCATGGCGTGTTCTTCACTACTCGCCATCCCTAAATGGAAAACTGGAAATTTCGTATGCATAACATGGGGACATTTGAACAATCTGCATATAATCATCTGAATTTTCTCCGATTCACTTTTGGATCCTTTTTTCATTTGAAAAAAAATTAGAGTCTGCCATGTTCTTCTGGATGTTTCAACTTGTTCAGAAATCGTTTTGCTCGGAGCAAGCGTCGTTCTTGTGTAGGTGCGTACCGTCATGAAGTGCCTTTTCCTCGTCCCGTATCACTTGTACCGAACGACCTCATGTATCTTCATTGCGAACTGTGCCCACCTGCAACTGGAGATCTCAGGCAATGGCGCTCATGGACGCTCCTTGATTCGCATCGATAATGTTCCGCACCGGCTGTACGAATTGTGTATCTCCTGCTGCTGTTCGAACGCTGTCAATGCTTTTAACGCTTCGCTACAGGCGACATTTTCTCGCCGGAGGCTTCCGACTACTTCCGACTACTTCCGAACTTTATGCACAAACGAGTTGGCAACTTGCAAAAAAAAAAAAATAGTGCAATCTCAACATGACTGTGATTTGCGCGTATCACAACAATTACAACATGTTGTTTCATCTCATGCGTTAGTTAATAGTTTGCCATTGATGCTCTGAAAAGATGAAAGTACATTAATTGATTATCATATAACAGCAGACACATAACTCCATGTCCTAAAATACCTTATGCATCCTGTAGGGTCGGTATTTATTCTGCATCGCTATTGTAACACAAAGCAATTTATAACTGTGAGCCTTTTCCAAAAGTACCTAGGCACCTCGTTCAGTTCGCATATATCAGGGAATGCACTGACCTTTCTCCATCCCGTTTTAGTGCATGAAGGAGGCGCTCTCTGGGGGATGAGTCATCAATGTTAAGATTATAATTTTTTTCTCTCTTTAACCTTCCCTGAACCCACACACACGTACGTTCGCACGTATCCAAGCAAAGAGAAAAATAAACATCCGTAGACACACAAAGTCAGATATTAGGGTGTATCAAAAGAGTTTAGCGTTCCAATCAATGGGGAACCTATCGAGAAATCTTTTGTTTTTATAGGCTTATTTAATGCCCTATATAGGGCATCTTTCGATGAGCTGATTTTTTTAATCATTTCACCCCAAGGAAGTCGATAATGCCCCTAAGACGCAGGAGTTACTAGGAGTGAAAGAGAATGAGAAAACACTAGAAGGAACGACGGACCTAATCTTAAACAGGAAACAAGGAATGAATCTTTACTCTTATTCATTAGACGTGGAAACATTATGAACCGAGCGATAGACGAACCTATCTACTCCTATTAAGGCAAACCTATCTACTCCTATTAAGGCGAACCTATCTACTCCTATTAAGGCGAACCTATCTACTCCTATTAAGGCGAACCTATCTACTCTTATTTCTTCTGAAAGTTGTCAGTTGATGGCACTCGAGTTCTCTCCTTTGTATATTTAAACCATCATAATCAACAACTGATTGTCATCTACTTTTGGATGTCATTTCAGGGGACAAACAACTAAGCTTAAAAGTTTAAACTAGTATCAAAATTGATTGAACCATTTACTTTTTACGGCCTGTCAACCTTTTCCAGGTTATTTAAAGCCAGAATATATTCTTAGATTGTAAGAATATTTTGGAGATAATAATGATTTACTGCTACAAGTTCTACTAATTAATCCATAGCTGGGAGGAAAATAGTCATGAATGTCATGATACAATCAATGGTTGTTATTGTTTAGCGATATGTCAACACCTCTACGGGTTATTTAATACCGCAATCTAAATATTTCGTACGCATTTTTTATTTTATTTTTGGAGATAATAATGGCTTAGGGATAAAAGCATTACTAATTAACCCATAACCGGGAAGAGAATAGGCGCATTTATACCTTTCCCAAGCATATTTGGGTGTAAGTGAATATAACAAACGGGACTGAAATTGGAACTCTGCTCGCCGATTAACAATTCCGAGCCGTTATTCATTACACCACCCGCATATCCAAGTTTACGGCGCCTGGTATTTCCAAGCGGTCACCCATCTAAGTACAGACCAGTATGGACGTTGCTTAACTTCACTGGTCGTACAAGAACCGGTGTTTCAACGTGATATGACTGTAAGCCTAAAAGTATGAAGAGGTCTTCTTTCTCTTTTATGTGCCATGTCACTTCAGAACAAGGGCGATCATGGCTCTCCACAACTTCCTCTCCTTTGTAGCTCATAGCAATGTTTGTTTTTTACTATCATTCCTGATCCCTGATTTGCCATCCATTTAAACATGCTTGTTAAGTAGGTTACTCGTTATTACCTTCTTGTCTTCAATATGTCCCGCGAATGTCAAATTCTCCAAAACTCCTTTCCTCATTGTGTCCCAGAAATTTCAGTTGTCTCTTTATAGTTCTAAATATAAGTGTACTTTTTGTCCCTTAATGTCCAGCATTCACTACCATACATGAAGATTGATATTACATACTAGATTCAGCACAAAATTGTCCTATTTATTAATACATTGGTCACCTTAAGGAAGAAGGCATCATTTGCTATTCAAATACGCCTTTGGTTTTTAGTGTCTCATTTTTCTTTATTTGCTAAAACACTTTCTTAGTAGTTAAATTTCTGTACTTGCTTGATTTTGAAATCTCCAGTTTGTTGTTTCTATCTTGAATTGTTCTTCTTGCTGACAATCATACATTCAGTTATTTTCTTTTTCGCTCGATGCGGGATTAAAAGATGTACAGTTAGATATTCCTGTTTCTTCTAATTCTTGAATTCTGCAAGCAGCTTCCTCAGTTTGGAGACCTAGCGTAAATGCATTAATATTACCAGACATTCACGACTTTTATCTGCCATTATTTGTTTGTTTGTTGAGCGGCATATCAACACCTTATGGGTCAATTAATGCCGAAATTTAATTTTCTTGGGAACATTAGTAATTTCTTTTATGCTCTTAATTTTTTTTCATTTGTTACAAAAATGTATTGCTTGTAAATTTTTTACTGTGAAAAAGTATTGCTGGTATTTTTACTGGAAATATTTTATACTTTCATATTGTTTTGACCCCATAGCTGGGGACCCTAACAGGTGCTACCACTCTTTGTCAGGGTAGACCTGGGAACAACAGCAATTAAGAGGTGGTCATACGCTCCTCACAACCTACCGATCAGAGGCCTTGCTGCCTGATGTAGTTTATCGTCATACCCAGGACGGATCTGACATGATAATATCTGAAACGAAAAGTTATTACTAAACATTACTACTACTACTAGTACTACTAATAATAATAATGCTCTAATGCCAAAGCAGCGACTACAGATTTGCTTGTCAGTTTCTTAACTAGTTGAACATGTCCCCCTAGAGGCTAACCCACTGCGCATCTCTGTTCATGGGCGGGGCTAGTTGGAAAGCATTGTCATCTTTTTGACCCTAACCAGTTGGACATATCCCCTAAGAAGGGAGTTTTAAAAATGTTATTGCATAGCGTCGTCGTAACTCTCATAATTTGCATTTTAAGAAAGAAAGTGTTATATAAACAAAACAATTAATTTTTTTTTTTTTTCATTTCGAACTAAGCAAGGCGATAAAGCCACAAAGACGTTAGGAGTTACTGAGAGTGAAAGTTTCGGAGAAAGAAAAAACATTATTAAGAAGAGCTTCCTTGTTGAACCGACTCTCAAGAGGATGTTTCCCCGATCACTACAATCTTAACCTATTCAAGTTTAGGGTTAACTGTTATGGGTACAAAGGACTTTTTGTTCGAGAAATTAATGCCTTTAAATAACCTACTGATCCGAAGGGAAGTCTATCTATTTTGGAAAACACATATATTTACATTTATATATAAAAACAAAAAAAAAAAAAAAAGAAACAGGGACTTTTTTGAGAATATATCATTGATTACTGTTTTTCGATAATTAATTTTCACCTATTGTGTAAGAAATTATTTCGTAGAAAATGCTAATAAGACTGTTATTACGTAGGAAAATAGACTGAAATGTTCATAGGCTGACTATGAAGGACTTAGGCGTTGTGCTAGTGCTATGAAGTCTTACGTGCAGTAATTTCAACTCTTCTCATTAATAACTGCATTGTTTATTTCCATATAAACTGACAAGAGGGACTATGTCGGAGAATAAACCTCATTTAGTTACAATCCATGAGATTATATTGATTAGCCTATGAACTTTTCAGTCGACCCTTGTAATTATAGATTTTTATAGATTTTTTTTCAGGTTTTTGAGTTTTTGCTGGAACTGAAAACTAAGCAGAAAACTAGTCTTCTTGGCTTCAATTTAGCACAATTCTGTCGAGTTGAGCTGTATCATTTATTTAAAAATCATTACTGGTGTTACTTTTCAAAATAAATCATAAGATTTCATCTTCCTGTTGTAAGGCTACAAAAGGCGATTCTCTCCCTTTGGTCGAGATAGTCATGTGGATCACGTGATGGCCGCTTAATGTAGTGATGTCACTTTATACAGTGACGAAAGTGGTCATTCATTCATTCGGTTTTTCAGTAGCAAAACCGAGCGATTGCTTTTAGGGCTGATGCTAAATCTGTGCCCCCCCCCCTGCCCGCCCAGTAGCTTACAAGACCACAGTGCCGTATCCTTTTGGGAATATATACTTCCCAAATATAGAAAGAAACACTGGCTCGCAATTTGGGAAAAATCCAAGACTCACCGTTTCCCGTTCGTGGAATATGTCCTCTCTTTGGACATAGTAGCCGGTTTAAATCTGGAGTTCTAAACATGGCTTTTCAATCTCTATATTATATGTAAGACCCTCTCCTTTCCTCTTCCTTTCACTCTGCCTACTGTTTAGATATATGTTATATTTTTCTCTACGTGGGACACGTGTAAATATGTATATATAGTTTTGTGGATGTCGTAGTGGTATGAAGGTCTCTCTGAAAACAAGGCATATTTCTCATTCATTTTCCTTTCAGCCATCACGTTCCGTCTGTGAAGTAGGGTGTTATTATATCACGGATATGATAATGTTCATAATGGGGGAAATGTAAAATGGAGACTAAACTTTTCTTCCAAAAACTTAATCTTTATTATATTTTTAATAAAAATTTAAAACTTCTAAAACGTTCCTGTAAGTCTTATATGCGGAAAAAATCTGTAGGACTATTTTAAGAAAATAAGTATAGGGAAAATCATAAAAATGTGCATTTAAAGCCAAAACAAAAATTAAATTTTAAAATATTCATTTTATGTCATAAAAAATAGAAACGGTTATTTTTTAAAACTTAACATCTGCTGTACCCCACACACACGCGCGCGCGCCCGCGCACATACACACACATCTAAACCCCCCAGCAACATTTTATCTTGTGACACCGTGTCTAACAATATTGACGCTTAAAAATTATAATTTTCAATAAAGACGTTATTGACCGAAAGGGAGTTATCTGGTCTTTCTCGGATGCTAGTGGTAAGAGAAATTTGGACCAATCATGATGCAGATTAACAATATTGGAAATGGACAGGGAATTGACCAAGCCAACTTTGGATAGGTGTGGGAGGTGATTGATAGAAACTTAGGGATTATTAATGTTATCCCCAACCCTAGTGACCTCAGGGGATTGTCAATATAAGCCATGCGATTTTAGACATAGAGCAGAATTCGCCAAGCAGTATTCGAAGAGTATGCCGTTGAGAGTCGACAGTTTTCGCCAGGAGATGCCGGTGAAGCAGCTGGGAGTCGTGACCTATAATCCCCACACTTCCTCGATTACCCCCTGTAGAGAGAAGAGAAGTTTTTCGAGTCACGAATTTCAGATCGCGAAATAATCAAATCGAGGAATACTTAAGGACCAACTTTGGCAGCAGGACCTCCTAAAACCATAAATTACACGCTTGAACTAAGTCAATTGCCGATTTAACGAATCATAGAAGGTTGATCATATGAGAACTAAGCGACCAACCGTAGTTAGGAAGACCACAACACCGCTAAACGGGAGAGGATCAATGTCGAAAGCTGATCGGAATAATCACATTTAGAACGGTATTTATGTTGTCTCAAATCTCTTCTTCATCTGTGAGTAGATTGTCCAACATTCACTGGCATATTGGGGTAGAAATTATATAGTATTTCAGTACCCATTTCTTTGTTTCTTTTTTTTCTTATATCTTAATACTCTATTTAACTTTTGAAAGGCTTCTTTCGCTGTTCCAAAGCACCTTCGGATTTATGTGTCACATTTTTCATCATTTGTGGCATTCAACAGTTGAACATCTCTGCAATGTAGTGTAAAATTAATTCAGATTTGTATTTTTGCTAAGTTCAATAGATTGTAAATATTGTCTATTTCTTATTTTGAGTGAATTTTCCAGATGGATCACTACCGGATCTCAGTAGTTCTGGGGATGACGTCAAACTACATCCGCCAGCAAGGACTCTGATCGGTAGATCGGAGGCTTTTAGGAGCATGGAACTGCCTCTTAGTTGCTTCTGTTCCCAGGTTCATTCTGGGTGGTAGCACCTGTTAGGATCCCAGATCTAGGCTAATAATAAACCCCAAAACAAAACAAAACACTATGAGAGTATAAAAATATATTTTTATAGTAAAAAAATACCAGCAATACATTAGCAAAATACCAACAATACATTTTATCTGTATTTGAAAGCATTTATTTGCGTTCAAAATATTTAGTCGAAGCCATAAAATTATTCAAATTATTTAAATTTCGGCATTAAATAATCCATAGCGGGTGATAAACCACTAAATAAAAACAACCAAAGAACCAAAATGAAAGAACTCCTTCATGTCCTTAATCCAAATAATATCCTACAATTTCTTAAAGAAATCAAACTGTATTCCAAAATATAACTTCAAAAAAACATAAAACACACCTATCACCGCTTCTGGTGATCATGTCCACACAAACATGTATATGCACAAAAGCTGAGTATCATCTACCATGCATTCAATTGTGAAAGTAGAATAACTTAGATCAAAATTTTATTACTTCAAAGCTTCCGTGAAAATCAAATTTCGGCATTAAATGATCCGTAAGGATTGATATGCCCTTAAACAAATCAAATCAGCCGAATCTCAGCTGTTTGTATTTTTCTATAAATCACTGCTAACTATCTCTAAACAATAAAAAA